ACATACACAAAATTTTCAATCTTTCTCTACCCCCCTCCTCCTCTCTCCCCATTCCCTCTCTCCCCCTCCCTTCCTTCCGCCCTCTCCCTCTCTCTCTCTCTCTCCCCCCCCTCTCCCTCTGTCTCCCTCTCACCCTCCCCTTTTCCCTGCCCATTTTCCTCGGGTGGGGGCTAGCTCCCGCCTCCGTGGGGTGCCTGGGGTAACATCCCTGCCTTCCCACCTCGGCAGTTCCCTTTCCCCCTGGGTTATCTCCCCAGGGCTGGCAGACAACTCCTTTCAAGGGCCTCCTCGCAAGAGGAGAGGGGAGAGGGGAGGACCCCGAGCCCTGTGCCCGTGATGCCATCTGCAGCGAGCGCTTTGGCCACATGACATTCGTGCCTCCAGCACTCAGCTGCCCCAGCTCCGATTACCCGGCTGGCTGCTGGGGGGGAGGAGGGGAGAATGTGCCGTGCCCAGCTCGGGGTGCTCCTAACTCTGCCTTCTTGGCTAAGTGCATCTCCCACCTCCATTCCTGGGGGGAATTGGGGCAGAGCGAATGAAATTCTGTGGGTTGACAGGGAAGGGGCTGAGCTCTTGAGAGTGGTTGTGGGCACAACCATCGTAGGTGGGCATAGGGGATGGAGGTGCCCAACTTGATGCCAGACTAGAGCTGCCAAGAGCTGCCCTGGGAAGATAGGAGGGGAAGAGAGCAGCAGGTGGTTGAGGTTATGGTGGTGTGGAGGGGAGCGCAGTCTTTGATATTAAGACTGGGAATCTGGCCCAAGTCAAGGCTGCTGTTGGTGTCTTTCTGTCCCTGACCGGCAGGGGGGACGTTTCCTGTTACATTCTCTGGGGGAGAGGATCTTTTGTTTAAGTGACCAGTCTCCCCCATGTTACATCCCCCACCCCCATCTCCCACCCTCTAGCCTCCAGGGCCCACAGTGGCTAGATCAGACTCGAGGGTCCCTGCCCTTAGGCTCTAGAACCCCATTCTGTGGAAGCCCTGCACAAGCTCACCAAGGAAGGCTGCCTGTGCGGCTCCCCACTTGCCAAGCTGGTGCCTGCGTCACAGCACTCCTCTGCCATCTCTCACCTGCCAAACAGTGCCTCCCTCCCCACCTTCACTCCTAGCTTTCCTGGCACTAGGAGAACAGCGAGCTGGGTGGGGCAGTCCCGCTCAGCCCATACCTGAGAAGAGAGCCGGGGTCTGGGAAAGGAGAAAGAGATCCAGCCCTGAGAGGCATCCATCCCTCAGTGTGGGGGCCTGTGTTGGGGCTGCCACCTCCACCATCACCAGACTCTCAGGGGCTGTTGGTGTTTGTGGCTGCCCATGGGAGCCCACGTTGGCACGGGCGGCCGTGTCTGCACACAGATGCCTGTGTTTGCCCGGGCATGCCCCTGTGTATGTTTGGGCTGCAGTGGCCACCCAGGCCCCTAGCATCCCCCTTCTTGGCTCCCGTGGTGTGGGGCCAGGGCACTGATGCCAGGTAATTGGGAATGGGGGGAAATATCCCCCCCCACCTTAGCAGCAGGCAGAGGGGAAGGGGAGAGGGAGGTGTGAACCTACCCACAGCACTATTAATAGCCCACATGCCAGGCCACCAAGAACCAGCTGTCACCGTGGAAACCATTTCTACTCCCCCTTCCCCCAGCTTGCACAGGGTGGGACTTAGGCGGGGCATGAAGCACCCCTCACCCATCTTTCTTTGTTACCTTTCTTTGTCTCCCCTCTCCTCCATCTGTCTCTCCACCCCTCGTCTGTCCTCTTCTCTCTCTCTCACCCCTTCTCTCCCCGGCTCCCGGCTTGCTGCCGCCTTCCATCCTGTCCCTCTGCTTCATGGCCATCCTGGCACTAACCCGTCCCTGCCCATCTCTTTGTTCTGGCCCCTCCTCGTCTTTCTTCCCCCATCATCCCTTTTACCCCTCTTCTCCTCCCCTTTCTTCCCTTTTCTTAGCCCCCTCTATATGTGTGTCTTTCCCTCTGTGGTTGGTAAGGAAGAGGACTGGGCTTAGTGCATTAAGGGCAAAGGTCAGGGGCCCCAGACAGGTGGGGCCAAAGCCAAGAGCAGGCACAGGAGAAGTATAGAAGTTGAGATAGATTCTGGAGGCAGAGTCCCCTCTGGCAGCCCCAGGAGTCCTTTGGGGGAGTCCCTTGGGTCTCCAGGATTGCAGAGTGGGATAGATCAGCAGTGGGAACCTGGCATGGTGCCCATGGATGCCGCATGAGCCTCTTGTCTCTGTACCCCCCTCTACACACACATACACACACACACACACACACACTGCAGAAGCACTTAAGCTTAATGAAATGCTTCCCCCTCCACGGGCACCTTGCCCACACTGCCACCCAGCATCTCCTATCTGATGAAGAGGGAGTGGGTGGCCAAGCCAGCCAACGGGTGGGTCTTGCCATCCGTCTGTCCAGCCTAGACCCAGAACCCCATATAGCTCCACTCCCTCTCCCTATTCGGGGCTGAGCGCCCACCTCTTCAGGGCATGTGTTCTGAAGGAACTTGAGGAATTAAGCCGGACTCCAGGAGGAGGGGAGAGAGGCTGCCCTTCGGGATGGATACTCCCCTTCCATGCTGACCTTTTTCTGCCCATAGCTGACACAGGTTCACATGGTTTGTGCTTCCCCGCCTGCTGGGCCCTGTTCTATGCTGCCTCAGAGGCCCAGGTACATCCCTAGAGAGAGGAGAGGAGTCCCCGGGGTTCCCAGCCTCTTGCTAGGTGCCAGGTGAGGGTGTCCTGAGCGCTGTCAGCAGCACCTTGCTGCTCTGCCCACTGCCAACAGCAGTAACCTGGGTAGCACTGGAGGCGCCGGAGCACCATTCAGCTCAGCACAGAGGTGGGGCAGAGAGGGAGCGTGGCCCTCCCCACCGCAGGCACGTGCAAGCCCTTGGCAGTGCCCAGACACATTTAGAGGTAAGGTTGGGCTGGGGAGGAAAAAGGGAAAATAAACATGGTGGCTCAGGTTGGCACCACCCCAGGTGTGCCCTGTAGCAACTGGCAGTGGCAGGAGTGGCAGGGGAGGGGGTCCTCCAGAGCTATGGCCTGGGGCAGGAGCTGTGGGTGCCATGTGGCTGCTGCTGGTGTTCCTGCCCCAGCCTGGCCCACAGCTGCTAGTAGCCATTCCCACACACCCTGGCCCTCTTCGCCTGCCCCCAGGGTCCTCTCCCTAGAGCTGCCCCTCTCTTAGCATGCCCACTCCTGTGCCTGCCTCCTCCCCTCCCTGGGGGCACTTGGGCCTCTGGCTGGCGAGTGGATTTTTCCAGCTTCTGTAAACAAGTGGTGGCAGCATGCCAGGTGGGCAGGAGACAGGCGGGGGCAGCACCACAGCCAGGGTGTGCCAAGCACCGAGGCACAGCCTTGGGGGGAGACGGGGAGACACTGAGACCCAGAGACCCAGAGAGAGAGAGACATTCAGATGCAGACAGACCAAAGGAAGCCTCGCTGGGCACAGATAGAAGTGGAAACAGAGGTGACAGAAAATAGCCCTCCATTGTCCAGCCCAATCCCCACGACAGCCCTAGCCCCCTAACCCTCACTGCTCCGGCTAGGAGGAGCAGGACCCAGTACCCAGGCCCTGGGCATCCCCACCCAGTCCTTCTCCTCCCCCTACCTCCACCCCTTAGGGCTGGCTACGCCATTATAAATTTATAACAGGAATTTCTCCACAAGCCAAGAAAAACTTGACCTACTTTCTTGACGGCTCCCTGGGCTAAGGCTCCCTGCTCACGCCCCCTGCCTCTGCCCCTGCCCCCAGTCTCCTCCAACCTCCAGTGCCCAGCCCTGGTCTGTGGGGGTATCAGAGGCAGACTGGGCCACCCCTCTGCACTCCTGCCACACCCCCCACACTGGGGGCTTGCCTGGGTACAGACGCCCTGTCCCATTGCCCTGCCCAATGGCCTGACTTATCTCTGCCTTCCGCTCCCACCCTGGCTCCTTATCAGTTCCTGGGGAGGGTGCTGGGGGGCCCAGGGGCGAGGTCTCTGATGCAGCAGCCACGTGATGGAGGTTGTTTGTGGGGAGCTGCACCCTTTGTCCCCTTCTCACATGCCCACACCTGCCTGTGTGTGCAGACAGTAAGCCTTGGGTCTCCAGCTTGTGGTCAGAGGGACAGTGTAGAGGGAATGGTGGGCTCAGCTTGGAATGGCCCTGGACCCCAGGTAGTGGAACGAGGCTGGCATTCAAGCCAGGCTTTGAGGTTTTAATCCCTGAACCACCTGCTTACTAGCTGTGTGAACTTGAATGACTGTCCAAGCTTTCTGGGACTCGGTTTTCTCACCCATAAAGTTCTGATGCCCACTTCAGAGGGCACCTGTTGTCTAAGCAGTTAACGGTTCCCTTTCCCTTTCCCCTTTCCATCTTGAGGGGTGGCAGCTCAGCTAAACCAACTGGGAAGCCTGCTTCCCAGACTGGAAAGTGTGATTGGGGACCTTGTATGGGAAACTTGGGCATCCCTGGGGGGCCAAGGCTGGGGAACCATAACTCAGCCAGCAGCAGTGGTGGTCAGCTCCCCACTGTTTCCATCTCTCTCCCTGAGTATTCAGGTGGCTTTCATGATCCCTGTGTGCTGCCCCACACCCCACCCTTCCTTCACTGTTCCCCCCCATGCCTGGGCTCACCTCTGGTCTCCTATAATACCAATAGTTTTAGGAAAACTTGCCTGGAGCGGTGGTAATAGCTAACTCCTAATAGACATTTATGAAGGGCCAGGCACTTGATTGAATGTGAGGATTGAGACATGTGCGTGGATTACCTCATTCTTTCCCTCCATCCCTTTCCATGTCTGGGGCTTAGGATGTGGAACTCCAGTCTTGCCTGCTGTGCCTGTTGATCTGAGGGGTTATCCTGATCCTCTCCCTGTGCCTGCCCTCCACACCCACCACCATCTTGTTTTGAGCTCTGAGAGCCCAAAATGTTGCCACCAAAGGAGTCCTATCCCCCCACTTCCACCACTCCCACCCCCACTCCCACTGTGGCGCCACCTTACCCTTAATTCTCTCCTCTCTCTGCAGGGACCTCTGGAGAGGACAAGACTCTGAAGCTACTTCCCCAGCCCAGGATCCCCCTGGACTCAGCTTGCCCCTCAGCCCTACCACCTGCCACCTCCTGGCCCCTCTCACCGCCCGCCCCCCTTGGGGCACAGGGCATGGTGTGAAAGGCCATGTGCTGAGGCGAGCACCATGGGTGCTGTGCCCTAGGGCCTGGGTGGCAGGGGGTGGGCAGCCCGTGGGCGTGCTGGGGGGGCCAGTGTGCCCACCCCAATCTCTTGGCGTGCTGGAGGGCATCCTGGATGGAATTGAAGTGAATGGAACAGAAGCCAAGCAAGGTGGAGTGTGGGTCAGACCCAGAGGAGAACAGGTAACGGGTCCAGTGACTAGTTTGTGCCAGCTCCTAGGCAATAGGCATGGTCACCCAAACGGGCACAAGAAACTGAGCTTTGTTCTTTTAAGCATCTCTCAGGGGATGGGTATGAGCCAGCAAGCCTGCTGCCTACCTTTGCCCAATAGATGGGTCATGTTCACTTGTGGCAGGAAATTAGGCACCTGGATTGAGAGATGTCCATTTTGGAGGGGGGAGGTGTACAGAGTGGAGTAATTACAGGCAGCGGGCATGTGGCCCCTCCCTTGACAATGTGGGGCAGTCTCAAATGCCCCCCTCCACATCCCCTAAGCCATCCTCACCTGAGCATGTGCCATACAAACAGCCTTGCCATTTTCTTCCTCTCCCTACCAGCCTGTTCACATCTGACCACTAGTGTGTGGTCCACAAGCCATGGTACATGTGACAGGACATTTCAGAGCACATGCACCAGTAACTATTGGTCGCAGCCTGTGCTTATATTTGGAACCTGTTGGGAGCCCCACAATCTCTTCCTTGTTCGTGGGCAAAGGCGGGCTCTGCCATGGGGCTCCTCCCAGGAAGTGGAGGTGAATGCCGATGCTGAAGGTTTTGCCCACACGTGGAGGAAGCATCAGCCCTGCATATACAACTAGGAATGGGTTACCTACGATCTGTATTGCCCAAAGAGGAGGGTCTCTGCCTCTCCATCAGCTCCAAGTGACACAGAACTCTGTCCCAGTTGGCATGACGCCCCAGGAGCTGGGTACAGCCTGTGCCTATGGCCAGGGAAAGAGTGGGGGATGGGATACTCTGGGGAGCAGTGTGGCTGTTGCCTGGGAAACCAGATCCTGAGCCAGGAGGCCAGAGGCCTGGCCAGGCAAAGTCCTGGGGCCCAAGACTGGGTCCCCGGATGGGTGGAGGAAGTGGATGGGGCTGGCTGTTCAGTAGGGCACCCTAACTCCAGGGGGGCTCTGAAAAAAAAAGGTCTAGCCTGGCAATGCAGAGCTCTCACTTGCAACCTCTGTACCTCCCTGCCCAGACTCGTGTGGGCCTAGGATCCCAACTCGGAGAAAGGTGGGAATGCTGGGTCCTGGTCTTCCAGAGCTGCAGACCCTCCTCCATCTTTCTCCCCTTCCTCATGTCCCCACGCCACCTTGTGGCTGTCCCTGGGACTGCACCCAGAGGCTGTGAGTCTAGTAACTGTTAAAAGACCACCAGCTAGCTCAACTGTTGCCTCTGTGGTCTGGAGTTCCCCGCACCCACCCCTTTTGGAGGCAGTAGGGAGATCTGACCTTCCAGCTGCTCTAAAAATTAGAACAGGGTTAATCTCCAGGGGGCATGGAACACAGAGTTGTCTGTGTCTGTGACCCTGGCCAAGGTCACTGTGTCAGTGTGTTGGGAGCTACATCAGGCTCCAGGGGGAGGGGCCCTGTAATATGCCACATGCAGGGTGGGTGTAGGAAGTTATACAATCCATGCATGCATGTAAAAAGGCTATGTAACCTGAGTCTGCCGAAGTTATGTAACGTGTATGTGGAGAGGCTGGTGACATATATGTGCAGTGAGGGTTGCTAATACCTAGCAAGGAGTCCTTGCTCAGGGTCCTTGTTCTGGCTCTGACTCCAGTGCACAATGTCACTAGGCACAGGTGGGGCCTTGGTTTGCTACTCTGTTAAATGGAGGCTGTGGACAGGGTGATTCTGGAATAGGTCCCTAGTTTAATATTTTTAGTTCTAGGTTCCAGTTGGCAGTCACTATATGTTTTCAATTCCTGCAGTTATTTAGTATGTGTACATGACCCAGGAAGCAAGCAATATGTTCACTTGGGGGAGGGAGGTGGTATTACTAGGTGCCTGTCCAAAGGGTTGTGTAACAAACACATGGGCATATTCTAGAGGTCATATAATGCATTTAAGTGAGAATGCCCTGAAAGTTGCATAGATATGTAGATCCTGGTGCTTATTTGCCATGCTTGAGTTTATACTGAAGGCTGCATAGTTATTCATATGCACGGGTCTTATGGTCTTATATAGACATGTGTTATAAAAGTTAAATAGCTTTAACCATGTCCTGAAGATTCTTTCTGCATATGTGTCATGTACTAAAGATTTAAATATGTGGATATCTTATGGATTATGGATATTTAAGATTCTATAATGTGTGTGTTGAGGCCCTAGAATATGCTTGTGCCCCAGCCAAGCCCCTTATCACCCTGAAGCTTCTAGATAGCTGGTCCCTTCTCAGTTTTGTCAGCTGACCTGGGAGTGAGAAGTAAAATGCAGATGCAAGGTAGAGGGTCAGGCCTCGGTGATTATATAAGCTTATTGGATGAGAAGGGTCTGCCCAAGACTGCTCTGTGATTCTGCCCACTTTACCCCCATTCAGTGCCAGGTCACCAGATGGAAAGCGAAAAAGAAAGAACGGCCAATGTTCCCTGAAAACCAGCATGTCAGGTGAGCCTGGCTGTGTGTGCCCTTCCCCCATGCCCTCAACCCCACCAAACCAGGCTAGGCCTCTTTTGAGGCCTGGGCATGGACCAGCAACTCCTGTGTCCCATGGGGAGAGCCTCCTAGACAGCTTGGGACAGACTTGTCTGGAGGTGAGAAGGGTGATGTGGGGTATCCCCTAGCCTTCGAGGATAGGTTAGGCCAGGACTTCTTCCCTTCTCCCATAATACTCTTGCCTGAGGCCCTCCAACCCAAATCAGGGCCTGAGCTAAGGGCTGGGGGCTGTATTCCCCTGAAGTGAGTTGCTGACATTTACTTCTCCTCCTCCTGCATCCCCTGCCCCTCAGATGCAGCAAGAAAAAAGCCCTGGATGGACATTCGGAATACTGGGATTCTCCATATTCTTAGGGAAGGGGATGATCTCTGATGTGTCTCCAGGATTCTACCTGGACACAAAGAAACCTTCAGGGAGGCTGGGCTAGGGGGTGGCCAGGAAGGAAAAGTTGGGGGCTGGAAAAGTGTAGGAACCTCTCTGCTGGGAGCCTAAGCCATGCCCGCCTGCCTGCCTCCTTTCCTCCCTCCCAGGGTATATCCCTAGTTACCTGGACAAAGACGAGCAGTGTGTCGTGTGTGGGGACAAGGCAACTGGTTATCACTACCGCTGCATCACTTGTGAGGGCTGCAAGGTATGGACCAGCCAGCTCCTGCCCCTCTCCCGTCACCTGAGCACCCATCTCACTCCCTTTAGGGCCCTCAGCACCTGGCACAGCAGACAGCTCTATAAATACGTAACCTAAAGCCCATATGTTACATCATCCTTTCTCATTTCTGATTTATTTGTTCGTTTGTAACTCCTGCTCTGCCATTTGAAAATAAAATGCCTAATCTCTCTCAACCTCAGTTTCTTCATCTATAAAATGGGATAATCATACTACCTACCTCATAGAGTTGCTGGGAGAATTAAATGAGATCTTGCACATTAAGTATTTAAAACAGTGCCAGAAACATACAAAGCACTCAATAAATCTCAGCTATCATTCATCCATTCAATGTGTTAGGTATGAGGGATGTAGTACATGCCCTGCCCTCAAGCTGCTCACAGCCTAGCAGAGAAAGACTTGAAATAAACATCACTATTTTTCAAAATGTGGTTCATGGACCTCTTCTAGGACTAGTTAAATGCAGATCTCTGGGCTTCATCCCAACCCTACTCAGGCAGAGCCTTTTGTGATGCATCCCAGGAATCTGCCTGGGAACAAGCTCCCCAGCTGCTTCCGCTGTGCCTGAGAGATTGAGAAGCAGTGCTGGAGGGCATGGTAGGGCCCAGAGAACAAGGGCAGAGGGAACAAGGGCAGAGGGAACAAGGTCATAGATGGGGTAGCCTTAGTTAGATCTCACTTTGGCCATTTCAACCTGCAGGGGTTTTTCTGGATCATCACCTCCTGGAAATGTAAGATCTTCCAAGAAACAGAAATATTTAAAAAGATGTTACGTCTTCAGGTTCCTTTCTTAGTGTCAACCAAACCATGACCAAAGGGGTTTAGGGCCCCATAGCAGTGGTCTTGGAAACAATACAAAGCAGGGTAACATATAGCAAGGATCCTCATCCTCAAGGACATGAGTCACAGAGGGGCATCCTAAAAAGATGGAAATGCCTTCCCCAACCCTAGAGAGTCTGATGTAAGTCTAGAGTGAGGCCCAGGAATCTGTATTTTTGGTAAGTGCGCTTAGTAAAAGTGATTTTAATGAGCTCCAGAATCTGAGAGCTCAGACCTTGTGTCTCATACCTCAGGTCTCGTTCTGGGTCTGGTGCCCATTTAGCCATATGACTTTGGGCAAATTGCTTATTCTCTCCAAGCTTCAGTTTCCTAGTCTGCAAAATGAAGATAGTAAGAGACCTTACGTCCTGTGGCTGACATGAGTGTAAATGTGATAATGCACGAAAGAAAAGGCCTTGTAGTCAGCATTAGCACATATCAGCTCTTTGTGTTACTGCTGCCATCTTGATTCTTGAGGTTTTTCCTTTAAAGCAAAGATTAAACCTGATACATAAACTTGAACATTTTCTTTTAAAGCTACAGTTCATACCCAGTGCCTTTCCTGACTTTTTGACCCCCTCCATTCATTACTTCCACCTGCTTGGGCAACAGGCAGCATGTCTGGGAATGGCTTTGGGGTCAGTGTTGTTTTCAGAGTTGTTTAGCAAGATAGAAAATAAGGTATTAATTGGACCTCCAAAGCTGCTGTTCCTTTGGCTGTCGTAGCACATCACACCATCCCTAGGCTCAAACCTCCCCACTTCACCCTCATCCTTACCTTCTCACTACTGCTACCCATGTACCACCCACCCCACCAGGATCCTAGGGGCTAGGGTGCATGTTTTCAAGGTCCTTCGGCTCAGGAGAGCCCAGTGATCCTGGGCTTGCTGTGTCAGGAGGATGCTGGGGGCCTTCACCAATCTCCCAGCCCCAGAGAACTGCCTAGTTGGCTCAGGAAGGGGAGATTATGATCATAACATGCTCCGTCTCCCCCCACCCCAGGGCTTCTTTCGCCGCACAATCCAGAAGAACCTCCATCCCACCTACTCCTGCAAATATGACAGCTGCTGTGTCATTGACAAGATCACCCGCAATCAGTGCCAGCTGTGCCGCTTCAAGAAGTGCATTGCCGTGGGCATGGCCATGGACTGTAAGGGGAAGGGTGGGGGTGTCGGGCCAGGTGGCTGTGGGTGGGGCTGGGCTCACATACAGCAGCTCCCTTCCAGGGTACCTTCAGGGCCCAAAGGGCAGCATGACAGTCCAGGCCAGGCTGATGATAGAATGGATGCTCAGAATCATGGCCCCTGCTGCCCTTATCCCTAGGGAAAAGGAAACAGGATTCCTCTATAGGCCCTGTGCTTGGGCCCCATTTCTACCTGCCTTTCACTCTCTAGGATGATAGGGTTATTGAATAAAGTAAGTCTTGAGTGCCCCAACCAAGCACAGTGTTCCTGACCACTGGAGAAGGCACCCCACTTCTGGGTGAGAGATGACATCTTTCATCGACTAGGGACTGGATGGCAGGGTCTTTTGGTAACCAGTGTCGTCATAACCTTCTAGACCAGAGCATGATATTCCTCTGGATCAGCCCAAATTGGAGTTGGTGTCATCCCAGTGATTATGATCAACTTAAGCCACCCAACTGCTAGGTGACTTGGGGAGTTACTTAACCTCTCTGGCCCTCAGTTTCCCCAGCATGTATGCTGGGAAGAGTAGTTTCTGAGCAGGTTGTAAAGAGTGCCATGCAAAGGGCTTTATGTCTCTCTGATGTTGGCAGTGGTTCTAGATGACTCAAAGCGAGTGGCCAAGCGCAAACTGATTGAGCAGAACCGGGAGCGGAGACGTAAGGAGGAGATGATCCGATCACTGCAGCAGCGACCAGAACCCACTCCCGAAGAGTGGGACCTGATCCATGTTGCCACGGAGGCCCATCGCAGCACAAATGCCCAGGGCAGCCACTGGAAGCAGAGGCGGAAATTCCTGGTAAGGAGAGAGTGACAGCCACGTGACCAGAGATGGGACCTAGCTCAGAGCCTTGCCCCTTCCAGGAAGCCTTCTTAGTTTAGTCTGACCCAAAGCTGATACTTGCCACAACTTAGTGATCCTGATTTGTACACTTGTATGTATGTAGCTGCTATCAGGGTCCTGCCTGTTCCATCTGATCGGGAGCTCCATAAGGATAGGGCTTTGCCTTCCTCACTGAGTTTCCAGTGAGCAGAGGCAGCATCTTTCCTGCCCACAGTGGCTGGAAGAGAGGGTAAGGACACAGTTATGTAACATATTTCAGGGCACCCGCAAGGTGCCAGGCATTGTATTAGGCCCTGGCAAAACTGAATGGTCAGCTTGGAAGGAAATGGACGGTTGGTTGTGTATGGTGGAGGAAGGCAGAAAACAGGCATCTGGTTCCTGGTGGAGTATGCCAGTGGGTGGCACAGTTCAGTGTTAAGAGCATAGCTCTGATGCCAAGCACGCGTGTGTATAACAGGAGTCAGAATGCCTGGGTGATCAAATCTTGGTTATACCACTTACTAGGCATGTGACCTTGGGCTGCACTATGCCTCGGTTTCTTCATCTGTGAAATGGGGATAAGTATAATGTCTTCCTTATAAGGTCATGGTGATGATTAAATAAGATAATACATGTAAAACTTGTAGCAAATGCCTAGCTACATATTAAATATTCAGTAAATATATTGTCTGTTATTATGATGTTACTTCTATTACTGTTATGGTCATTGTTACTATTAGTTGACTCAGAGCCCTGGCTCTGGCCAATTAATTCTCTGCCCTAAGGTGAAGGTGAAGCCTTAGGCCTGGGGCACCAGTCCCCACATATTGGTGGCCCCTCTCCCCAAGCTGCCTTGGAGCTCCCCCTGGTGGGCAGGGAGACTCAGTGAGAGGTTGAAAGGGGTCTGCAGTTCCAGCTGACCCCCATCTCTCCCTCTAGCCGGATGACATTGGCCAATCACCCATCGTCTCCATGCCTGACGGAGACAAGGTGGACCTAGAGGCCTTCAGCGAGTTTACCAAGATCATCACCCCAGCCATCACTCGTGTGGTGGACTTTGCCAAAAAACTGCCCATGTTCTCCGAGGTGAGTGGCAGATGGGACGAGAGCCACGGAGGTAAGCCTGAGGCAGCTGGCCAGGTCACCGAATCCCAGCACGTGCTCACCTGAGGTTCTCTGCACAGGGAGCAATTCCTGTAGGTATATACACATGCACAGCCAGCTGATCCCTACGGAACCAGAAGGCTCCCCCGGCCCAGCCTCCCCAGCCCCTCCCTGCCCTTCTCCCTGCAAGTCTACGTGGCTGCCTGACTCTTAAGTCTGGGGACAGACTGCCCTTCTAGCTGTGTGACCTGGACCAGAGCCCTTACCTCACTTTCCTCATCTGCAGTGGGGATGAAGACAATGATGGGACCCAACTCATAGGCATAATTGTAAGGTTTAATAAAATAGGGCGTATCCACAGTCCAGTGCAGGTTAGCTGTCATGTATGTGTTACTGGCTGAGGCCAGTGGTGGTCTCGCAGCTCGCTGAGGTCACCCAGAGGACACTGTTGGGGAAGGGTATGCTGAGTGTCCCTGTGACTCTGCCACTCCACAGCTGCCTTGTGAAGACCAGATCATCCTCCTGAAGGGGTGCTGCATGGAGATCATGTCCCTGCGGGCGGCTGTCCGCTATGACCCAGAGAGCGACACCCTCACGCTGAGTGGGGAGATGGCTGTCAAGCGAGAGCAGCTCAAGAATGGCGGCCTGGGCGTGGTCTCCGACGCTATCTTTGAACTGGGCAAGTCACTCTCTGCCTTTAACTTGGATGACACGGAAGTGGCTCTGCTGCAGGCTGTGCTGCTAATGTCAACAGGTACCTGCTGACTGACTGGGAAGCCAGAAGCTTCCAGGGTCCCAAGCCTGGTTGGGCTCTGGGGGCCTGTCACTCTCCTCCTTTCTTAACCCTACCATCTTTCTGCTCCTTGGCTTCTCTGCTCCCTAAGCTTACCTCTGTCATCCAGGCCATCTCTGTCACCAGGTCTATCCTCTGTCCCCTTCTCTGTCACCCATCCTACCTCTGTTCCCAGTTCCATCTCTTGTCCCCCAATCCTCTCTCCCTGCCCCTCGCCCCCTTTCTACCCCTCCTCCTGCCGTGCCTCTCTGTCCCCTAGCCCTGGCCTCTTGAGGTTGCATCCTTCCTCTGCCTACTCTCGCCCATTCACCCTCTCCCCATCCTCCCCTGCAGACCGCTCGGGCCTGCTGTGTGTGGACAAGATCGAGAAGAGTCAGGAGGCGTACCTACTGGCGTTCGAGCACTACGTCAACCACCGCAAACACAACATTCCGCACTTCTGGCCCAAGCTGCTGATGAAGGTGACTGACCTCCGCATGATCGGGGCCTGCCACGCCAGCCGCTTCCTCCACATGAAAGTCGAGTGCCCCACCGAACTCTTTCCCCCACTCTTCCTCGAGGTCTTTGAGGATCAGGAAGTCTAAAGCCTCAGGCGGCCAGAGGGTGTGCGGAGCTGGTGGGGAGGAGTCTGGAGAGAAGGGGCAGAGCTGGGGGCTCAGGGAGGCCCCCCACACCTCTTCTCTCCTTCCTCTCACCCTCGGATAGATTCAGCTCCCACACACATCCCCGCACTGCCCCGTCCCTCCTCAGAACCTCCAGCCCTGGGACAGGGCACACAAATGAACTTGCTATGGAAAGGACAGTGTGGGAGGCTGGGGGACCGTGCCCAGCAGTCCCTAGGAGCCTGTCCTCTGAGAAGGTAGGGGAAGAGAGGAGATCTAAGAGGGGATAAGCCATCTCGACCATAGGGGTCAGAGGGATGTGTAGCAGGGGAAGATGCCCCCAACTCACCCCCTGCCCACACACAAGAGAGAGCCCCCACTCCCTGTCCAGTTCCTGGCCTGGGCTCCCCCTCCAGGCTAAGGGCCTCTGCTTCCCCAGTTCCTAGATGCAAAGAAGGGCCTGGCTTGGCTCCTCCCCTGGAGGTTAAAAATTATAGTCATTCTTAACTGCACTTTGGAAACCAGGCAAGGGGAGATTAATGAAGAAAAACTAGACAGAGAGAAAAAAGAAAAAAAGAGAGCGTGAGCGACTGATAAAGAGAGATGATATTAAGTTATTAACAAGGCTGGCCCCTACCACCCCCAAGCACTTTGAGAGCTGCCTCTCCTCCCCCCAAATCAGAAAACTGCCCCAATCCTCAGTCCCCAAGGGTAGGGCTGCCGATCAGAGCTGTGAGTTAATACAACAGGGTCCTGGCCACCTCCCTTGCCTTGCCCCCCACACCGTGCCCCTTTGGCACCCCCACCCCACTACTCCCTCTGCTCTCTGCCACTCGTGCCCGCTGAGTTCCATCTACCTCTCACGCTGGATGCCAGCTGGCCCTTCAGCAGCCTGCCCTGCTGCCTGCACAGCTTCCCTTTCAAGTGCCCAAGCCCAGGGGCCTCTCCTTGCCCTCCACTCCTTCTGCACCTTGGCACCCACACAGGAAAAACTGTGGCTCAAGCTCCCGCCTTCCTCACGCCTGCAGTATTAGCTACAATCCAGATGCTGTTCACTGGGGAGGAGTTGGGGGGGTGTGTGCACGGGAGCTTCTCCCAGAGCCTCCACCTCCTTAGGACCCTGTCTCCCGTCTGTCTTCTGGGCTCTCTCTAACCTCTGCCCTCTCCCCTCCCCACTCCCACTCAATGCACTAACCCAGAGTCTGGGCAGGTAGGCACCAGAATGGGGGTGCTTAGATAAATGGCACTTAGCTGGGGCCCCGGGGGAGGGGGTGGTTGGTGCTCCTCCTTTTTCCTTTGAAGCTCTTTAGGCCAGCCGCCTCTTTGCCCCTGGGACCCCTCTCCCCTCTTTTCTCTAATTCAGGGACTTTGGCTTGAGTCATCTCCCACCCTCCTGGTGAGGAGTGCTCTGTTGGTCTGCACTTGGGTGAGCTGCCCTCCTCCTCCCCCATTTGGCTATCACCCACTCTGTAGGGGAGAGAGGGAGGGAGGAGGTAGCCCTGCCATGGGTAGGGGAGGTGAGGGTGGGGAGGGACAGCAGACCAGAGGGCCCTGGGCTCAGGGCTGCATGTCGGCAGGGATGGATGGGTGGACATAGATGCCCCCCGGAAGCCATGAGGAATGGGGTGGGGGGAAGGGGCGCCAGGGCTTCCTGCGCTTTGCACTATTGGGGCAAAAATGTCTTAAGCAGTGGGGAACCTGCCACCCTGACCCTCAGCCTGCCACAGCCCCCTACCTACACACACACACACACACATATGCACGCACGGGAAGGCAATGCTGTGCTGCCCATCAGGGCATGTCCTCCCCCCACTGTTCAGGTGTTCTGATGGGTGGGGGGGGCCTCAAAGAGCACCTGCTGTCACCTATGCATGTGCTGCCACGCCCCCCTTGGGGTTGTGGGCTCCCGTGCTTTCTCTATCCTCTCTCTCTCCCCTGGGGTACTGATTCTTTTATTTCTCCAGTCCCATGGCTAAGCCCTCTTGTACCCTCCTCCCACCCCTGAGGGCCCATTGGAATTCCTGACCTGTCTGCTGTCTCCCCGTCCCTCCTTCCCTCCATCCCTCCGTCCCCATTCTCAGCCAAGGCAGTGGTGGAGAAAAGGCCTGCCAGAGGCTCAGCCTCTTAAAGGCACTTGGGAACTCCCATCTGCCTCCCCAGTCATATGAGCTGTGATCCCCCAGTCCTCCCCCTGACACCTGACCCCATCCTCCCTCCCTCCGTGATGTGGGGTGTGTGTGTTTCTCTACTAGAATGTGTGAGCAAGTCCACGTGGTGGGGGAGGAGCCAGGAGGACTCAGGAGTGCCACGCACCTGCTCTAGAGAGGCAGCTGTCCCAGTCCTGCTTTGGAAATGAGGGACAGGGCCCTCTCCTGGGGGCCATTGGTGCTAATGAGGGGGATGGCCTTGATGTGGGTGCTGAGTATGCCTTCCCCAGGATTGGCCCAGGGCACTAGGGCAGGCAGGGTGGGGCAGAAGGTGCAGTGTTGGTGGGAGGAGGGGCTGCTGGGAATAGGCTGAGGGGGCCAGGCCAGGACAAGGGGGTGCCAGAGCCATGACCACTACCCCACCCCCACCACCCACCTCTCCATCTCAGTATTCCCCCTCCCATCACTCATAACACACATACCTCATCCAGCCTCCTCCTTGCTCAGACTTGGGGAGGGTGGGGGCGGAGAAGCCCCTACCCCTTCCCCTGGTGGCAGGTCTACAGGGCTGGGAGAGGGCAGGGCATGTGACACAGACACCGTCCATAAAGGGGACAGTAATTCCTGTCCTGGGAATTCCTGTGTGGGGAGAGGGGGACACTCCCTGGAGGCGCTACTGAATGTATGAGAAGCTGGTGCTGGGGTGGGGGGTGGGGGGTTGTGGGCAGAAACAGGGAAGGAGGTAGGTCCCTTTCCCAGGGAGTGGTGGGGCCAGTAGGGGTGATTTGTGGGGGTCTCCTACTCCTGCCCCACGTTGACAATCAGTATGTCTGTTATGTGCGATTTTTCACCCCATTGTGTTTTGGGTCAGGATTTTAAAGAAAGATATTTTTATGGTAATTGTTGCTCGTCTATTTTACTATATATTTATGTAATAAATATATGATGAAAATAACCCCCGTGGGCACCCCCCCTTAGACTTGTGTGCTGTTTCCCTGTATCCTCCCATCTGCTGGCAAAGTACCTACCCCACAAACTGACCAGATGGAGAGGTGTGCCCCCAGCCCTGGCAGTATTTCCATCCCATCCCCCAAACGAGCACACACCACAGAAGCCAGCTCAGCTGTGAACTATTGGATTTGAGACAGTAACAGAACAAACTGGGGGGCTGGAGAGTCAGGTGGGGGAGAGAGTGGTTTAAATAGGGGAGGACGGGGAGGTTCAGTGATGGGGGAGGGGGGCAGTTATTTACAAGAAGGCTCGGGGGGGCCAGAGGCTCATCTTGGAATATTTTATAACAATATAAATAAGATTCTGGTTTGCTTTTCCTTTTCGTCTCGTAAAGGAGAGAGAAGTGCAGAGTTCGATTCTGTACAAGGGGGCAGCGGCAGAAGGCCGGCCGGGCGGGTCACTGGGCGTCCACCCGGAAGGACAGCAGCTTCTCGGAATGCATGTTGTTCAGGGTCCGCAGGTCCGGCAGCTTGAGCAGCAGCTTGGTGAAGCGGGAAGTCTCCGAGGGCCGGTTCTTCAGCACCAGAGCCCGAAGAGCCCGCAGCAGCGTCTCCTGGAGCTGCTCCACCGAAGCGGAATTCTCCATGCCCGAGCGGTCTGTGGGGAAGACGACAGCAGTGAGGCAGGCTCCCTGAGCTCCTCTGACGAGGAACCGGAGGTCTGCGAGGACGTGGCGGGCAATACAGCCTCTCCCCGAGGCCCCTCAGAGGGCTGATGGCGAAGGAGGGGGCGCACAACTCCTTCTCCCAGGCCTCTGTCCCAAAAGCAGGAGGGGCCTGAGAGCTGGGAGCACAGGCTCAGCAAGGCTGGTCACCTCTCACCCCACAAGGCCACTCTCCTGCCCAGAGCAGGCCAAACATGTCCAAGCTCCCTTGCTTTTTGCTCTGTAGTTCCCTCTGCCTGGGATGCCCTTCCCCCTCTCTCTGCCTGGCAATATCTTACTTGTCCTTTGAGGCCCCACTCAAGTGTCACCTCCTTCCCCAGCTCCCCCGGGCAGAAATAGTTGTCTGTGCTTCCAAAGCCTTTGGTTCATGCTTCCACTGTGACACTTATCTCACTGTTTTATAATTAGTTGGGCATGAGTCTTGTCTCCCAAGCTAGATGTGTCTGAATCATGTCTGTATCCCCAGTGCCCAGTGCTGGGCCTGGCATAGAGTAGGTACTCCATAAAAGGTGTGTTGAATTGAACTGCGTCCGCCTCCTCCCCCAGGTCAGGCTCAGGCGAGAGCTTGACCTACCTGCAGAGACGAGCACCACCGCGGTGAAGAGGCCCAGCTCTTCCTCGGTAAGCGCCAGGGAGTTGAGCTTCTCACTGAAGTCGAACATGGCATTGAGCAGGTCCCCCATGCCCATGGCGCCGAGCTCCTGCAGGCTGTAGGTGGTGCGGCTCAGGAACATCACTGTCTGATCCTTCACGTTGAACAGTGATGCAAAGCGCACCATCAGCACCTAAAGGCGAGGGTCAATCATCCTGGGTAGGTGGGAGGAGCAGTTGCCAAATCCCCCCTATGGTGTTCTGACTTAGATCTCTCAGTGAAGAGTTGGGGTAGTATCTGAGGAACAGGTGGAAGGATGGGAAACATCCCACTGGCTTTAGAATCTAGCAGGCCTGGATCTAAGTCTCAACTTTGTCACTACCTATGACATTGGGCAAAGTCACAAAAGTTTGCCAAAGTTTATTGCCTCATGTCTAGAATGGGGGTAGCAATGTACCCTGTGGGCTAGTTTAAGGTAATGGGTTGTGATTAGACCCCAGCTGAGATGACAGACATCCCAAATGTCCTGAGCCAGGAGTGGGAGGAATTTTGTACCCCCCTTCATCAGTCAGTCTGCAAGGACAAAGATGCTGGGTTCCAAAGTCTTTCAGAGCCCCTGCCTACCCCAGATGCCAAGCCTGCTGCTGGATCCTTCCCAAAGTCAAGAGCAGGGAGCACAGAGGGTCACTCACCTCAAAGGTGCCAGCCTTAAGGAGGGTGACCTGGTCATGCTGAGAAAGATCACGGAAGCCGGGGATGTGCTTGGCAAACTCTACCACTTCCCGCACAGCAGGTGTGAAGCTCATGGAGAAATCTTCCCAGATCTCTTGTACAGTTCGCCCACTGCGTCCGTGCGGGTACATGTTCATGGGACATGCCTGGAAGAGGAAGAGATTTGAGGAGGAGAATATCAGTTGGGCTGGCTCAGATGGGCTCCCCCAGCAGGGCTGGGCCCCAGATTCTGCCTGGATGAGGAGATGTGGCCCTGGAAGATGGGTCTGTCAGGTTAAGTGGCAATCAGGGGCCAGGTAGAGATCAGGGATTCCCAGGCAGAGCCCTTACTGTAGGGCTGAGCATCCTCCCCTGGGAAGAGGATATCCCTGCATTAGCCTCTGGGCACACCCAGCTGCCCTATACTAAATTCATTCTCCCAGGCCCCCTGCCCCCCTCACCCCCAGTGCCCTCACCAGCAGAACATTCCTGGAGTTGCCCTGCCGTGAACTGTTGGCAGGTGCTTCGCCTTCCGGGGCGGGATACACGTGGGTGGGGCACAGACGGTGCCCATTGCTGTTGGGCTGCTGACAGCTGTGGTGGGCAGGGGCAGGGTGCCAGGCCGGAGGATAGGAGGAGGGAGGCTGGCGTAAGCCATTCAGGGCCTCATTATGACGCTGGGCAGCCATGACATTGTTGTCATTGGGGGCAGGCGGGCAGCCCTGATTTTCCCAGCAATGTGGAGTGGTGGCCGGAGGGGTACCCGATGCATGGTTGGCATTGAAGTTGCCAGGTGAGGTGCCCAGCTTGTCATGTGCATAAGTGAAGATCTCTCGGTGAGCCCGAGCCACCTGGGATATCACATCCTCTACTGTAGGCTCCGGACTTGGGGATCGGGGAGGTGTCAGTTGTTGTGGGAACTGGGAGAAGCCCACCAGGGGTGAAGGGGTTGGAGCTGGAGGTGGTGAGGGGCCCATGGGGCCTGGAGTTGGGTGCTGGGTAGGTGCAGTCTCCAGCAAGCACTGGCTGCTCAACTGATTGTTGGCCAAGTTCATGGCACTCTGCATTTCGGCGAGCATCCGCTGCTTCTCTCGTTTGGGGATGCGCCCAAAACGCACAGCTGTGACAGGATGAGAGCCATGTCAGGAAGTTCTCATACACACTCACATGCTTCTCTTCCTTCCTTCCTCCTGAAGGGCAAGACCCTGAAGGCTTGGGGTTCCACATCAAAACTAAAACTGGCAGGGCCACGCCTATTGAGGAGGTTTTCCAAGTAGGGATTGTGGTTGGAGTGACAAAGGCACTAATGGGAAAGAAATGTGTGTTTACCCAAGAGGATGAATATGGGTGCCCCTATGCAAATGAGACAGCATGATGTGTCTCGGTTTGGGACTTTTTTGAAAGGGAGGGATTAATTCAGAAACTTTGGGTGGTAGGAAGGGGGAGGGCTTGGGGATGCTGTGAAGCAATAGTGCTGCCTCACCATCTCGAGACATGCCCACGGAGAGACACTTTTTGAAGCGACACTGCTGGCAGCGGTTGCGATTGATTCTGACGATGGAGCAGTTCTCATTTTTCAGACACCTTTTGTACTGGATGTTCTGCTGGATGCTCCGACGGAAAAAGCCCTGGGGGGCAGGGGTGGCTAGTGAGCATCTCCGTCTAGGCTGGGTCTCTATGTCCTGGGGGAGGAGGTCACCTGCCCCCTGCCCTCACTCCCAAACTGCCTCACCTTGCAGCCCTCACAGGCGTGCACGCCATAGTGGAAGCCCGAAGCAACATCCCCACACACTTTACACAGCAGCACCATGCCGTTCAGCTCTGAAGGAAGAGAGGGGCAGTGGGTGAGCAGGACTATATGCGTGGTCAGGGATATGAAGGTCTTCTGGGCTGCAGATTCTGGGGGAAAGCTAGGGAGGAGCTCCAGTATAGGGGGCACCTGAATGACCAGACTGGGCCAGACAGACATCAATTGGTGCAATTCTAGCAGAAATCCCTGGGGCCACGGTAGGCCCTGGGATAACTGTCACGTGAACACCAACTCTCAACCTAGGCCTGGCTGCCTTCCCTTCCCTCCAATCAGTTGGAAATATACTCACTAGTGATGTTACTGGCACTCTTACTGGGAGACACTCGACTGCTGTCTTCCAGAGCCACTTGCAGACCCCCTGGAGGGCTCCCATTATAGAAAGAGGAAGAGGAGGATGACGATGAAGAAGATGTCGAAGAAGGGGAGCTATCATCACTCAAGCTGGGTGGAATGCTCCCAAAGGAGCGAGCTGGGTCCTGGGTGAGGGAGCCAGTGGGCGATGGTGGGAAGTAGGCAGGGCAACCTTGGGTCAGGGACTGGAAGCTGCCATTTGAGCTGTCACTGTAGAGGGACTCAGGGCTGGTGCGGCTTGGAGAGGAGCTGCTGGAGCCAATGTACGTGATGACACCACCTGGCAGGAGAACACAAGGAAAAGGAGTGTCAGCGACCATGTATCTTTGGTCCTAGGACTCTGCTCATCCCCACCTGTCTCCCCGAAACATTGCTGGATGCTCAGAAGTTAACCATGTGGAACCACATCTTGCAGTCCCCAGAAGAGCCACAATGAGCAACTCCCTCACTCATGACCCTTTGCAGGGTACATTCAGCTTCTGCCTTGTGTGAGATGCCTCCCTAGTGACATGACCTCTGTGGGCATCTCATATACATAACCCCCTGCCCTGGACACCTTCCTGGGGTGTATGCACTGCAGCTAATGACTTTGTTGTCTGTGGCAGAATTCAGGATGGGACGAGCAGCTGAGACCCGTTCATAATGGCCAGTCTTAAAAAAAA